CAGCTTTGGAAATTTAGTTTCCCAAATAAGCCTAGGTAGGGTAGGATCCCCTGGGTGGCTGGGATGATTACCACCTGCAAAGGAAAAAGAAAAAAAGAAAGAAAACTCGCCCACCTGCTCCTTCCCTACGAAAGCCCTCATTTAAAAACTGGCATGTCCGTGATAAAACACGACATAACGCGTTTCATTGACGTCATTTCTTGATATACTGGCCTTCGGATGGGTGCCCCCCTCCCCCCCCAACTACATTTCGCCTTTTTTTCTTAACGAGAGAAATTTAAGCCCTGGTGCTCGATTGCGGGACAATGAGTCAGGCACTGGGGTATGTGACACTATGCAAATTGCGCAGCGAAGTTCTTAAGGATTTGAACGACTTTGGCGCCTATCATTGGAGTTCGAATTCGAAGTAGAGTAGATTAGATGGATCATCTGACCCTAATAAACTACTCTATTTTGAGTTTGTACCCCGAAAATTGGCGTCAGAGTCGTACAAATCGTCAGAACTTCGCCGCGCAATTTGCCGCGTGCGCCCTCGGACGGACGTAGTGCCCGTCCCCTGGGCATTGATAACTAAGAGAATCCAAAGCAACGAAGGAATAGTTTGCGCGTGGGAAGAGGTTTGACATTTCACGTCCAGCAGAACTGAGTTCTGAATCACTAGACGCTGCTCTGATCCTCATTCGGGCACTGGAGATGAATTTCAATTGCTCAAAAAAGGTTCCCACTATAACAAAAGTTAAAGGCAGTCAGGTCGACTTCAGAAGACTGGTTAAGCCAGTTCGGATGGGAGGTGGGAGCGGTGGGATCTGATACAGAGAATGGTAGGAAATTGTGGTTCAACACCAGCTCCACTCTTCCTATTCCTTTTAAATCGCAGATGAACAATGTGACAAGACTATTCCATCAGTTCCATCAGATGGATCGAAGTTGAAGTCATCGGAGCCGTGAAATGAACCTGCCTTCTTCCATTCAATTTAGCATTACAAGACTCTCCTATTCTCCGTGTCCCTATGCTGAAAATTCGCGGTGATTACTGCGAGAAAATGTGCTCGACCTATAATGTTGCGACGCAGCCGCGCGCAGAAAATATCGAGCAATAGCTGCTCGATTATAAAGCATGAGCTCTCGGCCACCTGATCCATATTTTCTTCCTTTCTTCATGTTTTTTAGGTCGGTTCCCTTGGTAAATGGTTTACCAACATGGTAAATATAGGGTCAGAACATGGAAAAGGGACAACAAGGCCACAGTGGTGAAGTACCATGTCGTAGGGTTTGCTTTTTGCGCATTTTGGTTTGGGGGCATATTTCGCTAACCTGGCCGCTGATTGCACACTTTCTGAGTTGAAGGAGAGGTTAACATAATGTGTGGGATCAATGGTTACTTCAGTCTTCCCAATATACACCCAGAAGCGGGGGCTTGGGGAGTGGGGGGTCACAACATAACGCCCAGCTTCCTCTGTTGAAGGCCTACGATCCATTTTCAGTATTTGAAAAACAGCGATTTAATATTTAAACGTAGGAACCATCTCATTGTTACCCGAATGTAGTGTGTGAGGTTTACCGATGAGCGTTTGAAAAGGAGCGCAATGGAGGAGGTGATAGTGGACCATAATTTATCTGCCAATTTGTTCTTCGAGTTCCGCCGCCCGTTTCTTCTCTCCTCCACGCTACCTCCAAAGTGGCTTCACTAGCTCTTCTGAAGTTGTTATTGCTGCTGCCACAGTGTTGAAGAGGTTATATATTATAAAGTCTTTTCGTCATGGCTGTTCCCCATCTATTTGTATTATTTAAGTCATAGCTGATGCTTTAGCAAGAGCAAACCTCTGTTTTTGGCGTACTGTTCTGATTGTTGTCCTCTTCAAGTAACTCTTCAGGATTAAGCTGGACTGATATCGGTTCTAAAACCGTCACCAAGATGGGCAGCACAGGACCGGTGGAGATTCCTGCCGTAAGAAAGAAAAGTGCTGAATTGTACCTGCATGACTACGATCTTGATGACGATCTTTCGATTGCTTCACCTCCCGTCAGCAAGCCTATCGTCGACGTCGAAGACCCCGTCGATGCCCTCAGTGCAAACAGAGAGCAAACTAGGCTGGTGGCTGCTGGTTGTCGTGGGGGTGTGTGCCTAATTAGTTGTTTTCTTTTTCCTAAAAGCAGTGGTAAATATTTATTTGTGGGGAAAATATAGCTTCGCCTACAAATTATATGAAAAATTTGTTCGATTCCCCCTGTTACTAAGAAATTCGGTACATTAAGTTTCTCGTAGTTTTGCTTTTTAAACCCAATTTTCTTGATTCTTCCGAGAGGTTAGAAGTTGGGTTTAAAAAGCGAAACTACAAGAAATTTAATGTTCCGAATTTCTTAGTAATAGGGAGAATCGAACAAATTTTCCATATATTTTTGTAGATACAGCGATATTTTTTCCCACAATTAAATAACGTCAATGGCGTGCAATATACCAATGTACAGTCCCGAATCTAAGTTGGAACCGTTGTTTTGAAGTCCCGTTATACCTTCTTGCTTTGCGTGTACGAAACTGTTACCATCTTCTTTTCAGTGCTAAAAGTTTTCAAGATGGACGATCAAGGCTTAGAGCAAGTAGCCGATCTTAGATCTGCACGAAGTCGTCGGTTGAACTTGCTATATTCTCCTAGCAATGTGGCATGGAGTAAACTCAAAGGTGAATCCACCTCCCTTTTCGTTGGATAGCATGTCCATCTCTTGAGGTATTCCATTATGTTGTCTAGATCAACTGGTAGCAACCACATCTAACAACGGAGCTGTTGTCTTGTGGGATGTTCAAAAGGGGAAAATAGGTTCGCTTTGATTGCATACTCTGTTTTGCTTATGACATTATATTGATTCTTGTTTGTATTTCAGAGATGCATTACAAGGCACATCAAAGATCGGCCACTGTTGTTCATTTCCATCGTTCTAATGATAACTTACTTGTTAGTGGTTCTCGAGATGCTGCTGTATTCCTATATGACCTTCGTGAACAGGATCCTGTAAAGAAGTTTGGGTCGGTGTATTATTATCGGAACCTGTTTTGTTGCACTTTGCAATCAAACACCAAAGTATTGCGTCCCTCATTGTGCAAAGTATTCAGTGCATCATTGTTGAACCTTTCATTGAATGGGTGTGTCCTTTTATCGCTCAGAAAGTTTTCTTTTCATCTTTGTCTTTTTCACAAGGCAGCGAAACAATAACATTGGGAAATGCTTTGCAGCTGTGAGTTCGTTAAGGATGCTTCAAGCCCTTTTTATCTCTGTCAATCCCCTTATCCCTATGCGTGGATTCCCGTTTTCATTTCCGTTTATCGATTTTATTCTATGATACAATCCTTTTATTCTTTTATAGGGGCACAAATTCGTATGACGTCATCCGCGATTTGTCGTTTTGTCTTCATCAAGATCAACATGACCAATTTGTAACTTCTGATGATAGTGGTACGATTCGTCTATGGGATACAAGAAAAGGAGACAAGTAAGCGAATCTTTTTGTCTCATAAATATCTCGAACTTGATGTCGTTTAAAAAAAGCCAGAATGCGTTTTCCATGTTTGGCTAACTCGAAATGAACGTTCATTTTCTCGTGCTTGATTGCCTGTAACCATTCGTGTATCGGCTTCATTCCTTGTTTTGCCATAGTTAGGTACATTTCTTCCAAATGACAATGAGGTACAGGAGCGTTACATGGCCACATCTATTTTCTTTCGAAATCTGTAGTTACCGCTCGTTTAATTTGTTAGGAAATCCGACCCTGGTCGAAGGGTCTTCTCATTCTATTTGTTTTCATTGATATGAAAGCCTAGAAATCATTCATATTCGTATGGCATATTATTAATGTAAATTACTCGCAAACACGGCTACTTCACTGGGCAAGTCGCATTGACGCTCATTTTCTAGTTATGATCATATTATAAAACTCGCTAGAACTGAAGTGAGTCGTTCCAACATGCTGAGGGTACAGTTGCTAGGCGCATCGCTAATGCCTCAGCATCATTGTTCTGCTATTGACTCGAGCATCTACAAATGAATTTCATCGTTATCAATGATGAATGATAGACAAGTCCTTTGTCTCTTTATTTTTTATCTTCAATTGATAGATTTGAAAATGTGTTCGTAATCGAAAATTTTCGTAAAGTGGCTCTATCTGACTCTAACTCGGATTTTATCTTTATGTTGTGCTGGCGTACTACGTTCTATAACTTAACTAAAAGCTGCAAAAATTCTTTCGTTTACTTTGTTTCCGTTTCTCTCCGATTATTCCCTGCAGAACTCGCTAAAAATTCCTGCAAATATGTGGAGTGATTCATAATTTCGCTTCTGAATGCGTTTTTCATGATTTCTATCGAATGTGAACAAGGGGACTGTCATAGAAATTACTAAATAATGTACACTTTCACATGTCTATATTTTTCAAGCCTTATCTTCCCGCCTCAACCTTTCCCCCAGTCGTTGAATGCGCTGAACTCTAAATTGATCGTTACTCGAATCCTACGTAAATTAACATTAATTTACCTGATTGCTGCGCAGCATAATAGAGCAGCTAGAGTAGCCATTATAGAGCAGATTCCGTCTTATTTCATATTCATCGGCATGAATCTATGGCCAAAATCGAAATATTTCCCAAGTTTACCTTCTTTTTTGGTCGCTCCTCCTTGTAAAGCAATTTGCTGGTGCAAATGTCGCTATTTTCGTTAGTGCAGACTTTTTTGTTATCTATATCACCTTATCAGACAGTTGAGGCGGGAGGGGTGAAAACTATGAGATGTTAACTATTTCGTGGAATACTTGGAATAGCATGCCAGTCGAAGGTAACAACGAGAATTGGTAACTATTCAAATCTAACTTTTCTGTGCACGATTCTGTTTCCCAGTTCAGATTTATTCACGAGAAATCTCAAACGAGATGCTCGTTAAAATGCGTCAAGTTAAAAAAGGATTTTCCACAGTGAAGATGGTTGAATAGCATTGAAAGAAGGTTCTATAAGAGCATGCATTTACAGACCGCTGATACAATTTCCTGCTCACCAAGGCTATGCGGCAAGTATTGCACTCAATCCAAGAGAACGCCATTTGATCGCATCTGGTGGTGGCAGAGACAAGTTCATTAAGGTAATTCAATCTCGTCTACTGCTATTTTCATTTCTTAGTTTGCGTGTTCTTCATATTCTTCGCCTTGCTTCGTTTCTTTTTTTCTAAATATCTAACCAGTAAGTGTCGTTATTTGATGTATTGCCATATCGTACCCTTAGATTTGGAACTGGTCTGGCACTCGCCCAACAGCGCCTAGCTATCAAGTGGAGACAATGGCACCAGTTGGTCGTGTTTATTGGAGTCCTAATCCGAAGAACGCTTTCCATATAGCAAGTTGTGCTGGTACGTCCTCTCTTATGCTGACTCAGTGCCTTTCATATACTATTACCGAAGAGGTTCGGCAACAGAGATATAAAGAATGAGGGCTTACTAGTTCTCACTCTTTTAGTACACTCAATCTCGATTCAACCCCTTGTTGTTAGTTTTCGGTTTTCTCTATAATTAGATATCGATTCAAAACATTATTTCAGTTGTAAACGATATGAGCGTCCATATATGGGATATACGGCGGCCGTTCCTACCGTTTGCTAGCTTCGAAGATCATAGTGACAGTGTCACTGGTGAGCTTTCATTCTCAGCATTTTTAGTGATTCTCATCTATTGGTTATTGATCCACTTACTAATGTGCTATGAACGAAACTTCTTCAACTCTTACTTAATCCACTACAGGATTTCTTCCAGTTACACTACGATTTCCTATAGAATTCCATATTTCTTAGATAACCGGTTGACTAATTTCGCCTCTGATCCCCTGAATTCAGGTCCTTTTTGATTTTATTTGTTCTGCATTATAAAACATGACGCAATGGCTGCTTCATATTTAAACCCTGCCTAGAAGCAAAGTGTTTTTAATCACCGATATTCTAAATTGCAAAAGCTGATACACCATGTGGTGCAATCCGCTCTGAAGTCATTTTTTTCTGTCATGAAAACAAGGATAATACACTTATCAGCTAGAGGATGAATTTTCATCTCTGATTGCCCAGCCTGTTTGAAGTGATGTTTGTAGTTGCACACTTTTTTCAGATATGTGGTGGAGCATTCAAGATCCAGAACGAATTGTTTCATGTGGAAAGGATGGTCTGTTGGTGCTCCATCGCATGGAACAAAAACAGTCTCCGTTATCGTACGCTTGTGATATGGCCCTAGACGTTGCACCTGATGGTCTGGTTGGAGTTGCAGGTGAGATACTGGGTAATTCTTAAAGGACCATGATAGTAAGTGCATTTTCAGCAAATTCTCACATTCCGATCATAAAACATCAAGAACAGTACATGGCCAGGAGGGTGAGTTCAAGTCACTTTGTACTGCAGTAAAAAGCAGTGATTGAGTATCATCAATTCATTTATGAAGCGATGTAGTACCAATCAAATGCCTTCGGCTGAGGGTTTCGTGACTTGGGTGAAGTGAGATTCTCTGATTGTTATGAGAGGGCTCTTTCCTGACTCCTACTCATACAATAGAATTTTTCACTGTTTTCCAGCGTTTCTGCGGAGGGAGATCAATTTCGTTCTCTGGGATTTTTGATCTTGGAATTCTCTTTCTTACTTGTCATTTCCGATTTCAAAGGGTATAACATCCAGCCATTCTACAGAATCGATTAAAAACATGCTTACTTTCAAAGCCTAACAGATGCAATACCGTGGATTTATGAGAAATGATGTACAGATTTTTCTATATTTCAGAGACAACCGTATGATCCCTTCCGCACACCAGTACGTAGTCAGCTTTCATGTGGTTTACCGGATAATGCCATGAACACTCTGCAACCGTCTGCCTTTTATAAGTTGGCGGAAAAGTGAGGACATCATATTTGCTTCTTCATTAATGAGTGCTCTTTTCAATACCTACTGTATGATGGGAGGAAGGCAATTTCCAGTTATCTGGCTGGAGGCCACCCGCTTCGCACCTTGTGCAATCACAACGCCAATTTGGCTATGCATTTGGGACAGTCTAGTGTCGCTCAAACTTGGCGTTTAGTGGGAGCACTTCTTGAGCAGACTGGATTACAGAAGGTTTGTAGTTTCCCCAAATGGTCCTCCTTGTACGTATATATTTTGCCTTGAGATAAACTTTTAGGTAGCTTTTTAGGTCTGTGCTTTACGTCTAGTAACCGAACAGCTACATGTTATCCATTCTACGCTAGAAGACATTCTTTCTTTCAGGTTTACGATAGGGATGCTAAAGAAGCTGTTACAGCGTTCAGAGAAAAATATGACAAGTAAGACAGAAAGTGTCATTTCCCCACACTGAACCATAATTGTTCCTCAAATATGTTGTAGATATGTGACCGAGATGGAACGGCACGGTAAAAAAGTGCCTGAACCTCCTCATACAGTAGCCGTACTTCCAACACATCTTACACGTTTTTCGGGAAATCATTCTAGTTTATATGAAACGAGAGAAGGAGGTCAGTTGAATAATTCAGCAGTTTTTCTTTTTCGAAGAGTTGTCCTTTTTCCATTTCCATTTCTCACATCAATTTGTGTGAAGACACTCCTCACTGGCTTCATGATTCATTCATGTAGGAGGATTTTGCATTCGATGTCGTTCCAGCGCGTCTTTCACCAACTATCGGTCAGCAGGGCTCGGAATTCGCCCCTAATAATGTTGCATCAGGAGATTTCTACTTCGGTGCTGGCGAGTTGACTAAGACAACGATCGAAAAAGGAATGTATGTTCCACATTATTAGAATTGTTTGTTATTCGGTAGTGATCGCATGATTCCTTGAATAGGGTTGAAAAAAGTACTTTTTGAGTGGGTACACTGTTATGCTTCAATAAGGGTCGACTTCTTTATCTATTGGTCCTTGGTAGAGTATTACCTGTTCTTCATTTGCTGTCCTTTTGCCTGAATGGCTTGCTATACGCCCTGCAAAGATGCGTTTTGCAGAGAAAATCCACATTACAACGATTTTACTGGACTGAAAGATGAGGCGTTTGCGTTGAAACCGGATCTAACGAAATCGATGTTCATGTCTATGACCAGTGATACATCCGACGATGACGGTCAGTTGTGATGAGTCATTTTCGCTAACTGCCTTTTCCAGACTATAAATGAACATTATTTCGATCAATCCTGGTTTTATATTTTGTATTAGTGCAAATTTCCTAACCTCTACAGCTTCGTCATTGACGTCGGTTATGTAGCTGGGGCAAAAAAAAGGGGTTCCAGTGGGACTGTGGTTTTTCTTCATATTATTGTATATGATTTTTTAACCTAGTTTTCGTTATTAATGTGTCATCATGTTTTAATTCGGCCGAAATTATAGAAGGATGTTGTGCAGCGAAGGGAGAAGAAAAAATTGCGATTTCAGCCTTTTTTGAAAATTTTTTCTCCACACTTGGAGGTTTTCTTAAGCAATACCTAATGAAACGGGAAACTCACCCGAACCTGTAATCATGAGTAATTGCGAATGCAAATGCTTGGGTGATCAATAATTTTTCTCGATTGAAACTTTGTAGTTAAGGGCACCTAGAGAAGGAACATATTGCTCGCATGAACTGGAATCCAATGCAAGAAGTTGCCAGGCTGCTTCGTTATCATGCTGATCAGGTAGATGAATCTTCGTTTTCAGTTCCAATTATATCTGCTGCCCACCTTTTTGCTTCCTTGGAATAATTGCTTTACAGGGAGATGTGCAGACGTGTGCAACCTTAGCTCTTGTATGTGGACGACGGTTGTCAGATGTTATTGACGACTTCACGGTTGAATCGTGGAAAGACAGCTATATAGGTAAGAGATACTCAACTTAGAGTGATCGACGAAGCAGTACGGCTTCGGTTCCACTAGGCTTTGAAATGATTGGACGATTAAGGCAATTGCTTTCGAAAAGCTGTTGTTGTGTCGACGGCCGTACTAGTGCTGTTTTCAGGCATGCTAGATCAATTAGAACTGCATACGGCAGTAGCAGGTGTGAAAAAGTATTCATGGATCAAGCGAATCAACCAGAGGTCTTTGGAGGTATGCTAAAAAACGATTTCAAGGCTTTTCAGTCCTTTTTTAACCACTTTTGAGTTAATGGTCTTACTCTTCGATTTCTGTTGCTTGCAGGGCACCCTTTCTTGACATTCGAGCATGTTTCTAATTTGTTTCGTTCTTTTCCCAATCGTCGTTATCTTCATCAGTAATTTGCTAGTCTAAAAGGGATCGAGGAATGACTTCAGCGAATTCACAACGTGTCGTATAATTGGTTTCTGTTTTGAGGGTACTCATTTTCGTCTTTCTCACCGCGGTTGCACTGGGCAAACGTTGAAATGTCGTTGCGTTAAATGCTACGCGGTTTGCGGTGGAACGTGTTCAGTATGGTGAGAGGAAAACCCTTTTTTGTTTATCCATTTGTGTATTTGGATTATGTTTGAGCGAACTTGTACTATAGTTGGTTTCAATCTAACTTACTTTATCCAAAAATATGTTCACAAAGTAATGATTGCTATTAAAGGCGATACTTGGTTTTTTTCAGTGACGGTCCATTACTGAAAATGAACTGGTTCTGTCGCAAATGTCATCACGCTGGGCATCCACATCACATTCTAGAATGGTTCACGGTTAGCATTTATTTTCCTGAATTCGCTGTTGAATTCTATTTTAAAGAAGCAGTGGCAAAATCAGTCCGCGAAAAACCAAATCGGGGGAACCAGTCGACTTTGGAATAAGTTCTTGTTTTCAGACTGAGCGCATTTGCCCTGTCGGAGATTGCTTATGTGAATGCGGAACGGCTGTTGCACAAAGTCCGGATAAGAAGAAGATTATTGCCCCCAGGAAGACGCGTCGGGATTTATTCCGAAAAGTAAGAATTTTTTTGAAGTTTTGACGGTTTCAATCAATAGATGTAACCCTTTTTTTTCATGATATCTTGGTTGTGGCTCAGAACTAGGCTCACGGAACGTGCCAACCCTCAGAGCGTGTTGTTCATTTTTTTAGCGGCTAACTTTGACACGTGCTTGACTACTACGATATTTCTTTTATGTGGCCCGATCCAAATATAGGCTATCAAGCAATGGGCGAAATGGAGGGCTTAGATGATAATATGATGAAAGGGAAAAGTTATGATGACGTAGCGGTACAGCGCCTCTTTCTCTTCTGTTTGCAGCTTCTTCATTTTCAGCCCTTCAACCCTGTGTATTTAAAGCGAGTCACTTGCGCTGGCGACTTTATGAGTAGTATTACAATTTCCACGGCTTGAAGCATCAGTCTTTCTCACTTTTTCATGTAGACCTCGGTAACGTTTAGTGCTGGGAAATGAATCTTCTCCCCAATTTTGGCAGAACTGGCAGAATATTTATGTCTTTTATAATGATTTTCTAGTCGATCCATGCTCACTTATAAGTTTTTCGGTTCTAGGGAAACGCTGCTTCCCAATACTATGATTTGACGACATTTTATTAACTTTTCTGTAATCCTTGTACCGGAAGTTTTTCCAGCGTGAAACTAATTGCTACCAGCCGTCTTCGAAAATTCAATTACACTATGAGAGCACAACGGAAGAGGATAGTGACAGCACAACCAAATGCGATGATAACACGGAAAATTCGTCTACGCCTCGTTTCTCTATTGGGAAGGTGAGTAAACACAAAACTTTCCGAATTATTCTTGTTTTGGAGGTATTGGACTCCAGGGACGGAAATAGGTGGGCTTAATGTGTTGATCTCATTATGAATTCTCACTTTATCCAGATTTTGGCTATAGTAGCTTGCAAAACGCTAAAAAATCTCCCTTAGTTTTTTACAACTTTCCCTCATATTCCCTTCACACAAGATTACTGTATGATTGATGGACTGGTCGGCTTTCACTTCAGCATTTTCAGTTACAAAAGTTGCTGTTAGTATGGAGAAAAGAGCAGCAACAGGTAGGCAAATAACTCTTCAGATAGGTTGCCGGACTTTTTCCAAGTGTTTTCCCAGTGGAGTCTGCAAGCTTTTATGTCTCTGATTACAGTTCACCAGTGTAGAAAAAGTTCCTCTTTGCACCCACTCTCTCTTCCCCCGTGCTCTCTGTCTCTGAAAAAAAAATACACCTCATCATCACCCTGTGTACCCTTCCGTCAAAAAAAGTCTCCGCTATCTCTCTCCGTCGCATGGTCGCTTGAATTTCAACGAGTTTCAGATGCGGTTAGGGTCGATGAAATCCGACTCTTCCCAGTCGAGCAGCCGTGAAGGAAAATCGAAACGACAGCGAATTTCGACGTTACCAATTGAGCATGATTTCCTTGAGGTATGTTAATTTCATTAATATACGGTGTCCTAGAGATTCGAAAGCATTCGGCGGAAGAGCAGTTTCTCATGTTCGTTATTGTCTGATTGTTGTCAGATGGTTGTCTGATTTGCCAGTTGCATTTCATTCTTCAAGTCTCTTTCATCTACTCTGCACGTGCGCTCCATGTAGGCTTTTTGCCTCCTCTGTACAGATATAGAGACTTGAAAAATAGTCTTATCATTGGTTGAGAAAATGTGCTGACCAGAAAGTAATGATATGTCTGTGGCTGAGAAATATGAAGAATCCGGCTGTTTTATTCGTAAGGATTCGAAAAAACGGAACTAAACCAGTAAAGTACCCTTGAGGGCTGAGGTCTTTCTGGGTTCCCTCTTCTTGGCGATTGTATTTGTCATCTCAGCGGGATCTTGAAAATACTGAATATATCCGTCTGAATGCTTGAGAATCTTAATATGCACATCATTAACCTTGTAATTCGGATATGTAGGTGTCTGCGCATTAAAACAGTGATTTTGGATAGGAAGTGTGTGCGCGGCGCATATTGGAAAACATCTGTATTTGTTCAGATGATTCGTGCATCTAGTGTTCGCTATTATTCCCATCTTTCTCTTC